AATCAACTATATATTGATACAATTTTTAAAATCCTCCTCCCTGCCCAAAGATGAGCAATACTAAAACTGGAGAGTGGTGTATAAGATGAGTGAGTGTTAAGGGATGTAGGGAAGGGAATTAAAGACTTCTACAGAAAAATAAATGAGTCTGTAAAGATAGTCACATTCACACAGTTTGTGTAGCAGCTTTAAATAGGGGTCAGGGCTATTCCTGCGGCTCCAAACAGCACCTTGTCTCTCTTGTCAAAACTGTGTCAGTTCTATCAAGTCAGTCTATTAACTTAGCAGTATAAGAATAAATTAAAGATTAAAATGCCCATATTGCAAATTCCAGTTCTATAAAATGCATTAGTTTTATCAGGCGGCCTTTTTTTCTGAGCAGAAATGGGTTGAGTTTGATGTGTCCTACAGTTTGTTTTTCTTTAAATTGCTTGGGAAACAAGCAGCAGCCAGTGTACAGAGAACAGCAAATACTAACAATTAACGGTGTTTCTGTCTAGTTCTTGCCCTTCGTTAACCATCAAGGTGGTTTTAGAATGGTTTCCGTTTCCTTTTCCTCCATTCTCCCCATCTTCTAGATCCACTGGGTTTGCTGAATGCTCTTCAGAGGTCTCATGTAAAGCAGACTTAGGAGCTTCAGTTGCATTTCCTCTGACTGTAATGTGCTCCCATCCACCCTACATGAGATTTTAATATATTGAAAAGAAACATCACAATTTGATTCAGAGCTTTGTTTACAGGAAGGTTTTTATGCTATTTATTCTTAATTCCCTGCCAGGGGGTTAGTTCCCCCCTACGTCAGCTCAGAAAAAGGACTCCTTATAAAACCCTGACCTCCTAGTATGTGCAACTCCCAGAGGGAGCTGGGTGCATACCTGCCTGGTCCACATACTGCAGGGGCTCAAATCCCCATGACTCCCATCTCCTGGATACTCTGGTTAGAGCATCTAAAATGGATAAGACGCATGCTCAAGGAAAGGAGCAGGCCTGGACAAGGATTTAGTATTCTGCATAATGGGGATTGGGTGAAATCCTGTCCGCACTGAAGTCGGAATTTTGCCATCGACTTCAAAGGGGCTAGGATTTCAGCGAGACAGTTTAAATATCTGCACTTCAAACACTGCAGCAGAGAGTAGTGCAGCCTCATGACAATGGAGGATAATCATGCACAGACCATGGAGAAGCTTTACTTTTTAAAATGCTGCCATGTTAACTGCTGTATTATATTTCATTTGGCTAATCAGTTAACTACATATTTTAACAGTGTCACTGAAGTCTTCATTAAAGAGTTTAATTTTGTGTCCAAAGCTCTCAAACTAAAAACCAACACTAGTTTAAAGATTAGTATAATGTAAATGATGCACTGTTCTATATAGTAATTGCATAACATACTTCATTAATTTAAAAAAAAAGACATACATCTGAAGACACTATCACTTGACATGGAAATGTCTCCATAGTCAAGACAAGGAATGCTCCCATTTCAGAGTACAGGGTACAAGACCAGTTTCCTGCCTTCCACAAGGAGATGAGCAGCTATCCAAAATTTTGAAGGAGCCTGCTGAGACAAGGAGTGTATCTTCCTCTATAGACAGTGCCCAACCACCTATAACTGAGCAATTCTGTGCCCCCAGCACTCACCCCAATGCCGTAGTCCCATGAGAGCCCTTTTGGTTCCAATGGTTGGACTCCTGTTCGATGACAGACTGTCCCGCAACTTAGGCTGTGACTTCCCTGCACTTTGTCAGCTATCACCCAAACCTTAAAAAAGAGAGAGAGAGAGAGTGTGTGTAAAATGGTTTCACACATTGCTCTCTTCCCCTAAATGAAAACCATGACAGTACCCAGTTCAATCACACAAACAGTTCCAATGACTGGATGCAGTGACCTTGCTTGGAGCAAAACAGCTCCAATTTGGGCAAAGAGAAACCCAAACATCCCTGCACAAATGAGACCCAGGCATGCAGATTAGCAGTGAAAACATTCCCACTGAGATTTAACAAGGAACGTTTACAATACATGCTGTTTGCATAGTTTCAGTGGGACAGCAGGAGTCTGTGTTACCATTTCACAGAGTTAATTTTCAGGTTGTCAGGATGCCAGCATGTGAATCACTGTCTTATGAGGGAAACAGGAGCAGAAACCAGTGTTTACTGATGATTTAACTAGGTCATTCGTAACTAGTGAAATGCAAAGTTAAACACATACCTGATCCAGGGGTCCCACAGAAACTTTACGGATATTATTTGAAACATGGTCCCAACTGGATCCTTGAGGGTAGCTTGGTGTGATTCCCTGACGGTACCAGAGATTACCTATAAATAGATCAATTAAATCCTATGAAGGGAAGGATGGTCTTTTAGACAGAGTTCGGGAGTTCTGCTCGTGTAGGATGAGCCCACTGCATTAAAGCCATGAACTCTGCACTGTTTAATTAAACCTCATAAGAGATCAGCAGTTAATGCTTCCTTATCTTCTATGGAATCCTGTTACACTTTTCACTAGTGTGTGGAACTTAATATTCTCTATTTACCCTATTTTGACCTTCCTGAATAATGGTGCACTCCCTAATTTGTAAAGCTCCTTGGGGAAAGGACCATGCATTATAGATTTACAAAGATCCATGCACACCATGGATGTTATAGAAATAATGCAACATGGAAAAGGAGTTCTCTCAGACAGGACACTGCAGAGTTAAAGGCTTGTTTCTTTTGTGAAAGGACCCTTTAAATTTTATCTAATGATGATGCACCAGTTTGTTTGCTATGGATGATGGGCATGGTTCACTGCAAGGCATTCTTCCTGCAGATTTGCCTGCTTTTGGGTTTCCGGCAAATCTCCTCAGGTGCAGTGAGAGATGTAATTTTCTTCTTTGTGACAATCCAACGAATATTAAAAAAAGTTACAGATGCTGTGTCCATATTCTCTATGGCAATAGCTACGTCCAATACAATCCGAGGAGTCAGGCAGTGATTACCTCACCCAGTCCATCACTGTGCCAAGGCCAAGCTATTCCCTCTAAACACACAGAGGAACAGATGCTCAGGCGGTGTAGACCAACATAGCTCCACTAACTTCAATGGAGCAATGCCAATTTACACTGGTGGAGGAGGGGGCCCAGAATCTTGTTTTAAAGCAGTCAGATCTCTGGTTCATTTCTGAGGCCTTGTCATTTAAAACTCACCATTTTTATCCACCGCCAACATAGATGTCCGTCCTACTGAGACTTGTTTTAACTTTTGTTTTGGAGGTGAAGGAATATGGTACCAACAGTCTCCTGAAAGTTGGAAATAAATGAACGAGGCATTGAGAAAACAGCAGTAACGAGAGTATTGTAATAGGCCAAAGAAAGCTGTGTGTTCAGACACCATGGGGGTAGGAGCATTAGAAATACCTAGCTACACAAGGCATGGTGACTCACAGCAGAGGGAACCAAGAAGCCTTCCAGCCCTTCTGTCTATACAATAACATGACCCGCTGACATGAAAAGTGCTGGTCTCAAAGTCAAGCACACCCAAAGCACTAATCCTCTCCATTTGAATTACACACAGTGAGAATACCTAGCTCTTATATAGCACTTTTCATTGGTAGATTTCAAAGGAGGTCAGTATCATTATCCTCATTTTATAGATGGGGAAACTGAGGCATAGAATGGTTAAAGTAAAGAGTGGGAACCCACTTCATATAAAGTAATATTTTCCATCTCCTTTCCCAACTCAGTATTTTCCATATTGAGGTGTGTTTAATGCTAGATGGTTTCTACCCTGACCTTCTCAAGACAGTTTGGCCTGGAGAATTTAAGGAGGAATGTTGCTGACCCGTGTGAAATGGCATTTTCTTGTGGGCAAGGCTGGTAAAACTTCTCTTGGGCTTCCAAGAAGTTACCCAGATACATTGCTAACAAAAAGAAACTCATCTCAAGGTCTTGCAAACATTAACTAACTTTTAAAAGCATCCGAACGCATGTTAATATAAGTGAGGAGGAGGCTGTTTACTTTGCATCAGCCTCACACTCTTTGCAGTGGTGACATTGAAATGTCTCTGTCCTGTGCTTGTTCAGCTCACTACATCCTTGCTGCGAGAAGACCTGCTCTGTTCCCCAGCACTCACCTGCAGGTTTTTTTGGAGACACTGAACCCCGGTAGAAGGTAGAACCATCTCTGGCAACAGCCCAGACTTGGTGGAATGCCCCAATCGAGACCGACATGAAGGGCTGATCCGTTCCCACGTGAAGCCATGATGTTCCCTAGTGAATGACAAATAGCAGCTTGAGAAACTCGCACCTGTTGCAGAACTGAATGACACAGCGCGCCTGCTGGCTGATCAGTACCTGACGGGAAAAATCCTACAGAATGCAACTGGTTCTGAAGAGTAATTTTTATAGAACCCTATATGAACTTAACAGACAAAGGCCCTTTCCCTGGTTTGTTTAGATTATGCTAGAGCAGGGATGTAATCTTCCGTTCAATTCTATGGGACTTTTCTATAAGCGCATTATGCCTTTAGGTGTACCTAACAGTACAACTCCTGAAATAGAACTGGTAGAAAAAACAGGAAACATATTAGTGAACAATTTTTTTAAAATTTTTTTAATACTGGTTTTTCCAAAGTTTCGAGATGTCTACATTTAAATGTATATTAAAAAAAAAAGGGAAACATTTCTATAAGCTCTAGATATGACTTGTGCAAAAATTGTGCACACTTGGCCCCAATCCTGTAAAACACTTACACATTTAGACATGCAAGCATCCTTCTGAAGTCAAAGGGAGTATCAGAGGGTGGATTGGGCCCTTTAAGGGTATGTCTATACTGCACACTTCTTACGGCAGCAGGTAAGGTACATACATGGCACCCTCCATCCCCTGCTCAGGCATGAATAGCTTAGGGGAATAAAAGCACACTAGAACCTTAGGCTATGTACCCCACATGGCTCTCTACACACCCAAGCAGTGCTTCCCACATCTATGCTGCTATTTTCAGTGTCAGGGGTGGGGTCCTATGCCCTCCCTGCTGCCAGACCCTTTCCCCATAGCTTCCCCCTTGCCAGAGCTTTTCTCTGTCATCTATAGCTACATGCTGCAGTGGGGACACAGCCTGCTTTTCACTGTTGTCTATAGCTACACCTATCCTACATGCTGCCTCCAATGGGGTGCTGCCCAGATATAGCCTAAGAGGGTGCTGGTCCAGCCCACCTGCTCCCCATTAAGAGCCTCACAATCAGGCCTAATAGAGGGCAGCTGGCCTTGCTATAGAGCCAGAGGGGAGGTCTGGTTCAGGGACTCAACTGATGCTTTAATGGACTCCTGGGCCTTATTAAGGGGCAGAGATTAGCCTGGGAGCAGAACCACAGGGACTGGTCAGGCTGGCTGCTCTGTGCAGGGAAGGCACTGAACCAGAGAGGCTGCAGGAGAACATTACTCCAGGGGAAATCAGGCTAGAGGCTGTGTTTTTCTATACCAGAGCAGGGGAAAGACTCAACAGTAGCTCGAAAGGGGCTGGAAACACAGCCCAGGGGTAGGCTGAAGAAAAGGTTCTTCTATCTTTTTGTTTGCTGGGACGACTTAGTTGTTTTTTTGTTCCCCCCCCCACAAGAGTTAAGTTTGTTTGTGAGGTGGCTAGAGGGCTAATCCACATCTCCAGCACTAACCTGTCTGTGGAGTTTATTAAGGTGCCCTGAAAAAGAGGGAAACTGAGGTACCCCTGGCCAGGAGGGGACACTTGGGAGGCAGCTGCTATTACAGGGATGATTCACATGCATAAGTACGTTAGTGGATGGAGGTTACTGTTTTGCAATCTCTATTATAGTCTGTAGGTAAATGTGAACCTAGTAGTAAGTATACTAGGCACGACAGATGTGCATGGCTCCTTATAAAAAACACACAGCCCAATACAAAGCCCACTGAAGTTAATGGAAAGGCTCCCATTGACTTCAGTGGGCTCTATATGGGGGCTATAGCTTGGCCAGGTTCCTGCCCTGAGCAGCTTAATATCTAAGTCAGATGGGCATGCTACCAATAATTTGAGAAGGAGCAGACCCCTCAGTGACTGAAGGGGAAGTAGAGGAAAGAGGTGTTAGGGAGACATAGGGGGAGGGATAGCTCAGCAGTTTGAGCATTGGCCTGCTAAACCCAGGGTTGTGAGTTCAATCCTTGAGGGGGCCACTTAGGGATCTGGGGCAAAAACAGTATTTGGCCCTGCTAGTAAAGGCAGGGGACTGGACTCAATGACCTTTCATGGTCTCTTCCAGTTCTTTAGGAGATAGGATATCTCCATTAATTATTATTATTAGGAGAGCTGTATCAAGCACAGGAGGCAGCTTGAGTATACTGCCTCGGGGGGGGGGGGAGCAGGAAAAGAAGTCTGAGGGGCTAATGGGGGTTTACACGAGAGACAAAAACCAGTGATTTGAGGGGGCACAGTGTGTACATGTGCGCACACTACACACATGCACTTTAAATGACACTTGTATGAGAGAGGCAGTAAGGAGAAAGTCTTACAGCTGGATTTTGCTGCGTTACTCCGAGTCTGCACAGCACGTCTCCCTTGTCACTAACTGCCCAGAGTGCTATCGATTCTTCTTTGTCTGCCGCCGAACTAGGGATTATGGCGATGTCCCAGAGGGTGATGGGAGGCACTTCCAGCCAGGGTCCGTTGGTGATTATTTTACATTTTCTAAAGAGAAAAACCCCACAACCCTTTAGGAGCACGCACTTCCTGTGAGTGAGTCTGTGCCCATGCTGACAGAATAACTCAAACATAGGGGCAGGGGAAGGCCCCAAATCCTTTCATTAAATGGGTACTATGGAAACCAGAGATAAACTGAAAATATTAGTTGCAGGGTGAGAGTGGGTTGACACCAACCAGGTTTGTGTTTCCAGGTTGAGTTCTGAAGCACTAGACATAGGATAACGTTTATCAGGGTTTCTTTTTCAAGAGCAACTTAATAAAGAAAAAACAGACCCTCTTAGAAGTCTGTGCTGTGCTCCACTTTGCTTCCTACCGGTCTAAACCTAGCCTAGAACTTCAGGATAAAGAAGAGCATTCCATCATGTTCGTGGGGGAATCCATTGCTGAGAGCAGAACTCTGTAGCTGGTCCATTCCCTCCTCTGTACTGGCAATGGGAGTGACATCTGGACTTGATTCAGGAGGGGACTGTCTGAAGATAACACAGAGCATCCCGAGGGAGGGAGGGAGGCATGTTTGTTGGCTAAGAGTTGGCAGCCTTCCATTAAAGCAGTACAGAAAAAGGTTCTCTCTTAATGGGCCATTACAGAAAGCTACATTGCTCTAGTGTCCATAGAGAAATAAGTAGCACTGCGATTAGAGAGGATGCATTAGACTCCACAGGCAGAATGTCTACCTGCACCCAGCCCGAGAACACAGGGAATTTCTCTCCTCCAACCCATAAATCCAGGATCTAGCCCTAAGCAATCCCCTATTTGTTTTCAATTTTAATTTGTGCAACTGAAAGTCGGGAACGTTTGGGCTCAAGGCTTTTCTCAACTTGCGTCAGTTGTTATATTTGGCATCAGCACTTAATTCATTTGGATTCAATTTGTTACAAGACATACAGCAGAACGGTTTGTGGCCCCAGGGCCTCGCTGAGCGGGAGGAAGAGATGCTCGAGGCCTAAAACGTTGGCTCTGCAGCCACAAAACAAGCACCAAACATCGAAGTCTTTAATTTGTAGGCTCGTAGCGCCTCATTAGCGCGGGTGTTGGATAGCTTAGCACAAGAAAGTGCAGGAGGAAAACTAGAGTGATTCAGAATTGCCCCAGGTTCCCTAGAGAAAGAGCAGGGTGCAGGGGGCTTCCTGCTCAAGGCACGATACAGGGATGGTTTGGTCTTTTCTGGTTCCATCCAATTACAGTAAAGCCTGGCTGGGAAGTCATCAGTTGCCTAGTAACTAGGTGGTTCTGGTCAGAGTTATATTAGGACTCCATCTATAAGAGGGTTAAAGCCCTATGTGGACTGTAGCACCTAGGAGCCCCAGTCATAAACCATTGTGCTACGTGCTATACAAACACAGAACAAAAAGACAGTCATTGCCCTAAGATCCTGCAATCTAAGCATCAGAGGCATGTGTTATAAATGGTTACAAGCAACCTACTGGCTTGCCGGACTCTTTAACAACATCTCCTAATCATTTAACCACCATTTATAGAGGGGGCTATAAAAGGGTGGTCTGCCCCTTTAAGGTCTAGAGGCATGGGCCCAGCCAACCCTAGTTACTAAGGCACATCTGAACGGGGTTTAGCTGAGTCCCCTGGGGTTTAGCTGAGTCCCCTGTAACGAGCAGCAGTAAGTGAAGGATGCTCAGGGAGACTAGAGTACAGAGGCTGCTGAGTGAAAGAAGTGAGACTATGGTAGGGAAGGCCCGAGCATGTCCTAATAAGGGGATAAATGGCTCACAAGGGCTTTATTTTGAATTTTTTGTTTATATAATAAACCAGAACCCGAAAAGGGCTATGAATGGACACAAGGGTTTGAGTTTTTGAAGAAGCCCCTTGAAGGGGGATACTGAGGCAGGCTGCCTGTAGAACTGCAGTCCACGAGGGGATACTTGGGGCGATCTGTCCTGTGACAGGATCCTCGATATGAACTGTGACCAGAGGGCTTTTACCTAAAGATCTCACACAATCACAATGGAAACGTTGGGACACTTGTGTGCAAAGGCTGGGAGTGAAAAATGCAATTTAAGTGGTTGCTAAAGCCAAGGGCTGCCCTGCTGGAGATGGGTTCTTCAGTGCCGGTTTCAGTGCTGTTGCCCTTTGTTAACGGAGAGATATTTAAGGGACTAAACAGCTTGCTCTTAAGAAAGGAGCATGTCTGAATTCTAAACTTTATATCCATAACTTAATCCCTTACCTGGCCCAGCGTCTTCGCCGTACGAAATCCTTCATCGTCTTGTGGCCATGGTAGGATCTGCCAAAGATACGTGGTTTAATGCAAGTTTGAGAGGACTTGGAAATACCTCACATTTCAGCAACAGCCTGTCAGCGCTAACTCTGCTTCAGCCCAGCGTTATTTTCCATGCAACTGTTCTGTAAAAAGCTCCCCCTCACACCACATAATGTTGTGAGGATACCAGGCATAGGCTTGCAACTGAAAATAACGATGTACCCTGGACACCCCCTGCCCGCTTTAGAATACTGGCAAGCCCTTTTTTTGCTGTGTGGGACTTGTATTTCACCCCTCCTCCCCAAATACCATGGCCAGTAATACTTCAAATCGATGAAGTACTCAACACTGATTGTCAGCAGCTCTCTCACCCTCATTTTGCAAAAGGGGAAATCAAGGCACAGATGCCACCATTAAAGAAAAGCTGAAGAGCAAATCAACTAGGTTTAATAATTGCTTGCAGTGTGGTTGTAGCCAATCAGGTGTTAGCCTGGCAGAGCCATGCCAAGTTTATTAGGTACAAGAAGGTAACTCCTTACGCTGGAAAGTCCGCTGCATACTGCCAGCCTTCCCGATCAGTTCCACCGGAAATGTTAAAATCAATATACCAGTCAGACACCTAGAGTCAGAAGGATAATATGAACAGGAGCACAACAGAAAGGAAAGCACAGCCGGGAGATCACCTTTCACCTCTTCTTCTGCACCCTTTATATTGTAATTGCTTGTATGGAATGATCTGATAATATTTATATTACAACTTTGCCCGTTGAGAACACCTTCCATCTTGGGTCCCCAAGGACTTTAAAAACATTCAGGGTGGGATTCACAAAGGAGCCAAAGAGGAATTGGATTGGGTGCTGGGGGAGGGACACAATCAATCCTCTCAGCATCCCTAGGATGTAGGGAAGATCATCTCCATTGTACCGAAGAGGAAACCTGAGGTTAAAGTGACACAGCAGGTCAGTGGTAGAGCCAGGAATGGAACCCAGGTCTTCTGACACCTCCATTCTGTGCCTAAGCAACTAGGCCATCCTTTATTATTTTAAAATAAAAAATAGAAAAAAAAATAATTTCAAGACAAAATTTACCCAAGACCACTGCGGGGATGGAGGCTTTGTGTTAACTTTTGTACATTCTTGTAAGCCAGATGCGTCACTCCACATGTACCTGTCTGTGGGCAGCCCTCTGCAACACAAGTACAAGGAATAAAGAATAAGCGACAGTAAGAGAAGGATAAAAGATAAAGCTCTTCACCTCTGCCTAGCATTTCCCACCTCCACACACACACACACACACACCCACCCACCCACCACTGTCTTCAATCACTAGACTCTCTTGAAGAAGGGACTGAAATGAAACAGGTTTGCTCTGCAGTTCAGTTGCCTGCCAAACACTGATCAAAGATCTCAAAAAACTGACTACTTTGCATTTAAAAACCAGGAGGGTGAATCTTGAGAATGCTGCCGCTTTTCAAAGGTTGGTGGAAAAACCTTTCCTACCCACCAACAAGAGATTTATTGACTTCCATTTCACTAGACCCCAATGTCTTTAGATGATTATTAAATATTGTTATTAAATGCAGCATCCAGCAGCCCCACTCAGGATCAGGGACCCGTTGTGCTTAGCACTCCGCAACACCCAGGAAGACATGGTTCCTGACTTGAAGAGCTTACGATCTATGACCTTAATCCCGCAATGCATTGCTTGCGGGTAGGTTTTGTGCCTTCCTAGGGGTGTGCTGGTGTGCAATGCATTGCAGGACTGAGACTACAAAGGCATCCCTTAATGAATATTGACAAAGCTAGCCTCTCAAAGCCCATGCACCTTCCATCTCAATTTAACACTAAATGTTAGAGACAGCACGTGAAATAAAAGTTTAAAAATACCCTGACAGTTCCCTTGACCATTATAAACACACACACTTGCCTGTTACTATATCCTGTGACTGGATTCCACCGTTGGTTCTCATAGATATAAACACATTTCACATCTGATTGCATGTAAATATTATCGGCACTGCTGGCCAATCCTGCAGGCAATAAATCACTCGGATTAAAAGCAAAGTTAAATGTTAAAGAAGAAAGTTGCTATAGTTTAAAATTTTGCCAGGTAGAACATTTATGCACCTTTTATTGCTCATTTTTGAGCCAAAGATACAAAGCTAAGATGCACAGCTTGCTTCCCTTGCAGAGACGGGATATGCCCATCACCTCATTCTACAGACTAGACACACTACAAAGATGGGGGATTGAAATTTTTTGTTCTGCTGGTATCACGTAGGAGGTTGCCCAGGGAATGTAGAATAAATGTGTGTCATTACCTTGAATGAAGCCGCCTCCGTATCCTCCAGTATAAACCCAGGCCGTGTGATCGTAACCTATGCCCCATACTATGCCATGGCTATTACACTCTATCAGGCGGAGATGCCCTCCAATCTGACGCCAAAACCTGCAGGGAGAGAGAGAACATTCTACATGAACTCCACAGTGGAGTCAGTAACAGCACGTGTTCCCTGCCCTGCACCTCAGCCCTGACTTAGAGGGGGTAGGAGGCCAGTTCAGTCACTAGCTCATTGGGCCGCTGTCCAACCGGTGGGGAAGGCGATTGATGCCAGTTAAGAATGCTCCTTTTGACGGACTACTGTCAGTGGGTGGAGGCAGCTTGGCTACCTCAGCTGCGAGTTTGTAGCCTGTCAAACGCCTCATTTACGTGTAAGTTTAACTTTGAATTTCCCAATCTGATCCATTGCGTTTGTTTTGAACGGTTAGCTATGATACACCGGTGGGGATTTTCACTCGTTAGCTGTGGCTATTCGCCCTCAGCGGTCACTTCGCCTGGAAGCTTTTCCTCTAGGAATTTCCTTGGTTTAATACACATGGATTGATGGTCCTAATGTGGGACCGGGGAAAGGCAGGAGGCCAGAGGGGATTCCCTCACCTTCTGCAGGAGCAGAGTCTTATTTTCCTCTTACTCAAGACGGACCCCCAGGTCTGCAGATGTGAGGAGGTGCACAGCAGAGGGAAATCCCTTCCTGGGGACCTGGAGCCCTGCAGGGTGTGGTGTGTGTGTGTCTCTAGGGGAAGGCAAAGGGACTGTAGAGGAACATGCCAGTGGGGAGTCTGGGGGAGTAGAAAAGAAGACCTGCTTTTACAGATCAGGAAGTGTGCAGGAGTAGATAAGGGCACCAACAACCTGGCAAGCTTTATGGCCTCAGAGGAGCCCCACCCACCTCTCCCTTCCACCATTAGGACTCTGAGGGTATGTCTACACTGCAGCTGGGAGGTATGATTCCCAGCCATGGTAGATAGACTCCTCCTAGCTCTGCTCAAGCTAGCAGGCTAGAACAGCACTGCTAGCTACCTGAGCTCTGACCCAAGGGATCAGGCGGGCTTGGACTCCAGCAGCTACCCTGAGCCACCGTCCATGCTGCAATCTCTCGCCACACTGCTATTTTTAGCATGCTAGCTGGAGCTGAGCTAGTGCCAGTCTGTCTACCCACACTGGGAATCACCCTGCCCAGCTGCGCTGTTGACGTACCCAAGGGATTTTCAGGGGTTCATAATTCAGAAACACTTCATGCAAGTCACTTCCAAATAGTAGCAAAAATTCTTCTTGGCCCTTAACCTGCCAATTTTGAGGCAGATTAAGGGCCTCTTTGCTTTTGGACTACAGTGGTCGGGGCTGCAGTGTCATGCTTTGAATAGAAACCCAGCTGCTATCCTCACTAAGAGAGCATCTACTGCCACTGCATGGGGGATTCAGAATTCCCTCACTTGGGTGCTATTCAAATCTCAGCCCTAATGAATGGAATGTTTCATTTACTCTAAAATGCCACCCACTAATTTGTGTAGGAGAATTTAGCACCCAACCCTGCAAGTCTTACAGGTCATCCCAATGAAATCAGATAGGAAACCTTGCAAGATCTGGCTCATAACATGCAGCTTGAGCATGTGAACATCAAAATGTAGCCTGAGGAAACTTCTTCATCTCACTTATGAAAATGAAGGCAACTCCATGTCTCTCTTCGTCTTTGGCTGACATCTACAGCACACAATGCGTTCCACACAACAGACCGCATAACTTCTGACATGGAATTAAAGAAAATTCTGGCTGCTTGAAATGCACAATAGTGAGGGGAACTTTAAAACCTTCTTACATTTGGTCACATGGCATCAGATGTGGTGTGGCCTCTAATTCAGGACTTGGCTCGCTCACAAAGACGTCTCCTTTGCAGGTAACAGACCAGATGGCCTGGTGGGAGGGAGGGCCTTGAATCCGTCTGCTTTCGCAGCAGGACATGCTCAGCAAAGCCAGCTACGATATAAGGAAGGAACAAAGAGCGAGGAGGTGCATTTCATGGTGAGAACAAGGGGTTTTCGCTTAACGTAGGTCATCTAGTGCTAGTGAAAGGAGGTTATCCTCATTGCTAGTCCACCTTGGAGATTTGTAAAAGGCAGAGTTCAGATCAAAGGTGTCAAGATTCATTGCTATCAACATGATTTATCTTTCAGGATCCCTCCTTCCCCCTCACCACTGCTGAAATGCAGCCATTTGTGTGCCATAGAGACGCAATCAGGTGGATAGACAGCTCAATGCACAACAGTGAAGGAAAGTTTTGTCCCACTGGTTTAAGCTCTTTATAAGAAGTAGAATATCTTACACAGAGCTGAGCAAACCTTAGTAGTTAAGACAGTTGGAATGCCTGTAGCCCTGCCCATCACACACAACTCCATTTATCTGCCTCCAAAGAAGGGTAGGGCTGAGTTAATCCTGCCACAGTTCCTGTGGCCTTGTCCACAGTAGGGGATTTTAGAGGGGACAAAAATCCCACAAGAGTGATCATGGGGTCAGCTGCACCACTGGTCACACTGGCACGAGCCCTAGAGATGACATGCAGCTGTAGGTGTTTTCACTGTGATGTCAAGTAAACTTGGGCTGAATTTTTGTTGCACCAGTGGAATCCCTTCCCAATCTGTTTGCTAATGCAGACATAGCCAAAGAGTCCAGAGGTTGCAAACCTGATACTCAAACCTTATACAAACGAGGGTTTAAGGAAGTAACCAGACTGTGTTAGAAAGTTGGCAGAGTTACCCAGTCATGCATTTCTTGTTCCGTGGCGGCTGCTAGACGAATTGGCCACCGCTGCTTTGTCCTCTCGGGCGTGTAGAGAGCAAAGGAGTGTTTGGCATCATTCAGAACTTCAACCAGAATGGTGACTTCGTTCAGGAACACGTGGATGTACTGGCACAATACAAAGGGCATTGGTGAACAAGGCAAACTCCCATTAAGCCTCCCCCATTGCCAGCACAATAGGGAGACCTTGCACAAATGGTCCCTGGTAAGGATGGCAGAAGAACTAACATTCTGCTTGGGAGTGCTCGTGAAACGGGGTTAGATTTACAGCCCTGGATGACTGGTCCTATCTACCCCCTCTACATCATTCTGCCAGTGTGTGTCAACCCTACCTTAGAGGGCCCCCTTGCTAGGCATCAAAGGTTGGTTTTTTTCTCCATAAAAAGCAACAGAGGGTCCTGTGGCACCTTTAAGACTAACAGACGTATTGGAGCATAAGCTTTCGTGGGTGAATGCCCACTTCATCAGATGCTTTCTCCATGACCATTCAGTCTTTGGGCTGTCAACAAGATGACTAATTGGTGTCAGCCTGGTGGTGGCTTGCCCATTGAGAGCGGGATTATTTCTAACAGGACCCTGAGATAGCCACCAGAGAGAAAAGACCTTCATTTGCTATTGGCCTGGGCCAGATTGGAAGTAGTGACCTAGACGAGAAACCCTGTATCACAATGCCCATCCCCATGGTTTTCCTCTTGTCAAATGGGACACCAGCACTGCAGTGCACTACTCGAATGCACCTTCTTCTCCTCATGATACATGTAATAGATGAACAGAATGCTGTCTCGCATGCCGTCGTTCCCAGTGAACTGCTCCAGTGCCACTCGCACATCTGTCCATTTATGAGGCTTCCAGCTTCTCCACCACTGTAAGGTCCCCGTTTTCACCCAGACAGACTGTGGCAGAAACACAAGGTTACAAGGAGCTGCAAAGAGCTTTCTTGACCTCCTCCCTCCCAAAATTTCTGCTCGTTCTTTCTATCTTCTGCTTTGAGACAAGCAGAAGATAATGTGATCAGATGAAGGCTAACAAAACTCTATGGCAGGGAAGTGAGATGCCCCCTTCAGAGAGTTCAAAATCACAGAGAGATTCTCTGACTTGGGAAAATACAGCAGGTTGTTTCTAACTGGGGTTAGAGTTAGAAACAGTGTTTCTAGCATTTAAGTACTTTTAACATAATCATCTACTAAAACTGATTGAAAGTGCATACACCAAACTGTTCTATATTGAAACTAATTTTATTTTAATACTTTAAACAGGTGATATTGGATAACTCAAGTCTTAGAAAAGGAGGGGCCAAAATCCTGAATAAAATCTAAGAAGAGCCCAAGGAAATTCTGTGTGATAATCAAGGGGAAATATTAACTAGAAATCCGGTTATTCAGATGTTCTTGACATTATAAGCACTACTTATGGAAGCTGTGCTATGCCCCCTGGTGTTCATACAGAACAAGCTCACTCATTTATTGAAGTCCAAGTAATAAGGATATTCATGCAAACAGAAGGCCCTGAATTTGTGTAGTGCAGTAACTCACATGCATCTAACACAATTTAAAGGCGTCCTGGATTAGGGATTTCAGCATATTCAGGAACAAGTGCAACAGCCAGCCAGTGTTCTTTTTGCATAGTACTAGCTGGAACTTTTCTACAAGAGCAGCGGTACCAGAGGTTTAATGGCTACTAGGGTTTCCAATTGGAGTGCTTGGGAAAAGCTACCTGTGGTAATGGACAAATGTGAACGGGGGCAAGGATACAATGCTTGATTACAGTAGGCTGCAGGCCATACACTGGACAGTACCATCACGGATACCCAATCCTGACAGATGTTAAATCATGATCAGAGTTAAAGGGAAAGAAACAGGAGGACTTTCACAAAAAGAAGAACAGGAGGACTTGTGGCACCTTAGAGACTCACTTACCTGCTCAATAGCTTGTTCATAGTGTCTAAAGTTCTCCAGTTCCCGCTTGGTCCTCTCACTGAGCTGCTGGAAAATCTGCTTTCGCCACGCTGCTGTCTGCGCTGGACTGATAGACAGGGAAAGAGACTGCACAGAGGATAACAGACCTAGAGCAGAACCAACGTGATGAACAAGTGAGCTTTAAACTCAATTCTGTGACGTATTAGATGCTCAAGACACAATCTGCCACTTCAAAAACACTGGGGCAAACACCTCTGGTCTAACACCACTATTGCATGAACACACTAGTCCCAGTGGCATTACCAAAAGGCCAGTGAGAATACTGCAAATGGTGCATAGAAAATGGATTGAAAGACTTATCATAAACTCCTCTGTATATCCCTCCACTAAAGCAGCACCTATATAGTCCTAGGAGATGACCATAGGCTCTACAGATTCTGATACAGAGCTGAGATGACCAGTAAGACAAGGCTAAGTATTGGGATGCCACACTCTCATTAATTTGACAACCAGCTTATTTGGAAATTTGACCATATTTCACTTTTTTCAAAAGCCTCCCTGTTCGAATCCCTCCAGGAGTCAAGGCTAGGCTCCCATTCAGAAAACCACCTTTCAATTCCTCTTGCCATTAGAAAAGCTTACGACAGTGTACATCTCATCCTTGGATCACAAGGACTATGGTACCAGCAGGGCACTGTGTTATTTGTCTCTAAACAGGCTCCCTCTACAACTTGATTTTCACGAGTTTTCAATCACACCCAGGAGCTGTTTTATCCTGAGCTCTAGTTTCAACGCAATGGAGAGCTAAACAGGTGTGTGGAGTTCCGACAAACTGGATTATTTCCTGTGTAACATTTCTGCCAAACATGCAGAGAAATAGTAACTAACTATGTTCATAAAGTGCTTTGCAGCTAGATACACACAACAGGAAATACTCTTCACCCCAGAAGGGAGGGTAACAGCTAACTGGCATGCAGGATACTACGTAAGAGAGTGGGTGGAGGAAGAAGGGATTATTTTGAGATAAGGACATGCTTAAAAATAAATAAATAAATAAATAAAAAAGCACGGTATCTTATTATGGCAGCATCATTAGGCCGTGAGTGGGGATCAAGGCCCAGCTACGCTGAGCTGACAATACCTGACTGAAGAGTGAACCATTTCAGCGAGCTGTGTGAATCCACCAGGCAGCCTCCCCCACACACCCAGGCCCACAACGGATGCTCATCAGCTCCATAATGTTCTTCGACTCCAACTGAGAACATGCCAAGGGAAGACAGGCTGGACGTCTCCGGGAAGGTGCTGGCGGAGAGCAGAGGCTTTTTATGGGCCTCCTTTAAGTCAATGTTTGTCCACTGCAGTTCTGCAGGATGCGGATCCTGGTCAGCAGAAGACTGGGGATTTTCGAGACCAGCCTTCTCGCCATTGTCTGAAGCAGGGCTGGCTTCTTCAGGAGCAGAGTCCGGAGGCTCCACAGTCAAGTTTGCACTCGCTTCTGCTGACTGGCTTCCCACGTTGTTACCATTGACGCTAGCTGCAGCACCTGACAGGGGCGCGTCGGCAAGGTTTGGCTGTATCTGTGGGCTCTCGGTATCAGAGGAAATGTCTGCATCGCTCTGAACGATCAAATTCATTTGCTCCCTAACGTCGTCACTGAAGAAACAGCCAGCGCTTGGGGACAAACAGACAAGTACCTAATCAGCCACCAGTCCCCAAATTATCAACTGGCACACAGCCATAGAAAAGACCAGAGAAAGACAGACAGAGATGGCTACGCAGTGTCCAGCGGATACAAAGCAGAGCTTTTATGGTAAAAGCTTAACTTCATCCCCAAGGGAAGAGAGCCCGACACATGGCTTTGCAGGCCATGCTGAGAAATCCTTTTATGACAGCCTGTAGGGTTGGCTGCACAGAACTCTCCAGAATACCCCAAGTGTTAACACCGCAAGGCCCTGTCTTTTGGTTTACAAATGCTGAGCAGGACTCTTTTTAGACTCCAACTGGTAGGAACAGAAGCAGCCAAAGCAGGGACTGCTGCATTTGGGAGGGGTGGGGGTAAAATATGGGGTCCAGCCAGGCCCCTTTCTTCCTCCCAATGCCCCCTTGGCCCCAGAACAGTGCAGAGGAGACCCCACACACCTTCTAGGGGTACTAGGACCCATGCAGTGCCTCCTGTCTTCTCCATGTGGCCTTGGAGGAGAGGTACAGAGAGAACCCAGCTAGAGACTCCAGCCGTTTGGAAGAGGAGCAGGCAAGGCAGAGACCTTTGGACGTTCCAGTCAGGACTACAGAATGGGCAGACATTCTGTGACCTGTGCGGATCGGCTGTTTGCTTCAGCTCCCTGCCACCTTCATCTCAGATTCACTCCATAGCTGCCTCCCCGCCCCCAACCCTCGCCTCCATTCCCTGTTCTTTCTATTTAGCCGATCCCCTCCTAACTCCTCCCTCCCCGGCAAACTAAAAGGAATCCTGGTATTAACATTATGTTTGCTGCCATTACACTGTTCACTCTGCTTGTGTGTGCTAACCTTTCCCCCATCCTGTGTCTGTCTAGACAAGATTGCATCAAGATTGTTTCCTTGTGCTCCCCCTCTGACTGCATCCATCTGTTGTCGTCTTATTCTCAGACTGCAAGCGCTGCCTTTTTGTTCTGTGTTTGCCTAGGACAATGGGGGCCTGGGGCTCCCAGGTACTACTAGTACAAATAAATAATAATAATAGAGCCTATCAACATTGGATTCATTCTCAGCTGCAGATAGTTTCTGTTCAGCAACACAAGACGTTCTGATTCCTAGGGTTTAGCACGAGGCTTCTCACAGTGTTCCCAGCATGTTCTGCATGGCCGATGGGCCAACTCACAGCAGGGAGCCATTTGTTTATTCTCTCTGGGAAAGAAAGTGGCAAGATGCCACACAAATGACACCCAAGAGGAGGATAATTGTTAAGTGGAGTAAACACCTCCAGGATATCCGGCAGGTAACATTTCATCTATTATAGACTGGACCCTGGAATCTGATGGCAAATCCCAGCTCAGCTCACTTTACTGCCAGGCTGCACTGAATTCTCAAGTCAGAACATTACCTCTCTCCCCAGAGAAGAAGAGTTTGCTGCTCACTGTTGCATTTTAAATGGGAAAAAAACCCCAAACAAATGGACTTCAGCACCTGGCGAGAAGCAGGAGCCACGTGTGGCGTTTGTTCAAGGTCACAGTGAGGGGCCTTGAACAAACTGGATGGATTGTGTTCACAGAAATACTCCTCATAATGCCCTGGCAGCACCAAAATCTGATGGCCTTTAGGGGTTTTGGTCACTTTATTAGCTACCTGAGCAGACTGGTCGAGCTGCCGGTCTGAGACCTGTCACTCTCTCTGACCGATACAATCGCCTTCCATGTCTTCCCGCTGAGCTCGCTCGGTGTGACGCCTTGCCGGAAATAAACTGCTCGATCCTCGCAGCCGATTCCCCAGACCTAGGGGAGAAAGGGGCCTTGATGGGAATGTCTGTGTGTCCTAAGGGGATTAATGGCATGGAAAGCAGATGGGCATCAGCTACAACAGGGGAGTGAGAAGAGGGCAGTTGAGGGCAAGAGTCTTTCCTGAATCAGGGGTTTTCTTTGGGTTCGTCTCTAGTGCTGGTATTTTAGGTGCAGTGCATCCCTCCTGTGTACGGTTGATTGCGGGATGGGGGGTTTTGTACTCAAGTGTATCAGATGAGAGGGAGGTTTGCTGAATGTTCTCGCAATGTACCTCATGTGGCTTTTGGCAGTTCAGGCAATTGGGCCCCTTGTTGGACTGAACATCCCGGCGTCCCCCGAGTGTATTACGACCGCAAGGTTGAACAGTGATCATACGGAAGGAGGCTAAACATGCTCATGTGTTCACACAATTGGTGTTCCACTGCCTTACCTGGTCATTTAAGCCTACGTTTACCATCATCATTTCTCCAACCATTTCAATCCAGCTGGTGCCACATGGATTGTGTGAGTTCACACCTCTTCTGAACCACACCTGTCACAAGTTAAAATCCAAGTTTTGAACTACTGTACTAGCAGGGAGACAGTTAAATGGTTAAAGCCGTGGCTGGGAGTCAGGGCTCCTGCGTCTCATTCTCAGTTCTGCCATTGCCACATGGCCTTGAGCAACCAATAATATTTCAGCAGTGGCTTTGGTCTGAGGCTTCCAAAGCATCTACAAGACTGAGGCATTGGGCCATTAAGAGACTTGCCTAAGGTGATACAGCAAGTCAGTAGCAGAGTGGGGAATAGAATTCCGAACTCCCAAGGCTGCACTTTCACCTCCCTCGGGGCAGCACAGCATACAATGGCACACACCTCAGACATGGCAGTTATCCAGAATAGCTTTGACAATCCTAGCCTGAAAAGGGACCTAAGAGAGTTAAATGCCTAAAATCCTATTGGCAGTTGGGTTCCTAACCCCTTAGGTTCTTTTCAAAATACTAGCTAACTCTTTCAAAAGTTCCTAATACACTAGGTTAACTTCAATATTAAAGAGCTGCTCTAGGAATGAGGGAGAAGGATCAGATTCTCATTTGCACTATGGCCCCTTTACACCATTCTGGCAGTGCAAACAGGCCTTACGTTGGGAGGAAATGTAACGCACACCCACTTTAAGGCCCCTCACAGTGCCAAGATGGTGTAAATGAGAGGCAGTTCCATAGTTTCTGTAAAGAGAACTTCTCTCAGAAGTTAGAGAGCAAATAGCTGACAAGCACGAGCCAGCCAGTTCCCCATCTCGTCCCCTGAGAATGAGAGTTTCTCTGGTGCATGGGAAAATTCATTCTTTTATATCTCAACTGTAACTAGTGCTTCTGCCTCCAAGTCACTTCCCCAAGCTTTTCAAGGGCTTTAGACATTTTATTATATTAAATCCAACAGAATAGGCTGGGTTTACTTTGGAAGTGGTTTGTTAAATTAGTGGTTGGATTATTTAAAAAAAATCAAAACATACCATGTATTTAATCTCCTAATAGATTAGCTTGGTTCTATCTCATTCTTTACCAAATAAAAAACCATCTAAAAGGTTGTCTACAGGGGAAATTTTTCCAGTTACATTAGTATAGCTATAGAAGTTTAAATATACCAATATAACTGTGTGTGAATGTTCGGATTCCAGAAAAAGACCAACTTCTTGCGTCTTAATTTAAACCACTTCCAAAGCAACATAAACTAAACTGGAAAAGGGACACTCATATTGGACTAAGAGTGCTTACACAGGGAGCTATACTACAGAGCTTTAAATTCACCCCCTATATTATACCGGTATCATGTCCCTGTGTAGACAAGCCTTAAGCTATACATGCTATTGATACTAATAAGGGACCTCATGTTTATTATTTAACTTCAATAAAGTTATCAATAAACCCTGGAAACTACTAATTCGCAGTAACAACCTGGGATAATTACACTCTGTTAGTGTTTAGAATCAGTGATTTTTTTCCCCAAGTACAGCAGATATTTGTTATTAATTAGCCATGTAGTATAATGTAGGTAAAGGGGGTATATTGTCATCAGAACAATAGACTATCTGGGATGTTGCACAGAGACTTGAAGTTGTAAACACAATGAGCAAACACATGCACATACATGAGCATCCTAGGTAAGAAGCCAAGATTGAACCATAATTTTTGTTTTGTTTTGTTATAAAGTATAAAGCAGGGACTGAATATTATCTTGTTCCCATAGGTGGAATTTGCTATATTCTGTCCTGGATCAGTAACTGAAAGCACTGCTAGATTGAGGGATTGGTGACCTTTAGAAGGTCAACTATTTTAATAATCACCAGGTGTAGAAATACACAGTAGACTTTGTCACCCGGGGCTAGAGACTAACGCTTTAACTATTCTGACTACCGAACTTGCCTATTTCATAGTGTGCTGGGGCTATAAACTCTTTGGTGAAAAGGCATTTTGGTTTTGGGACTGGTACATATTTCTGACCTTTGAATCAGCACCAGTGATCATCAGCTAGAAATGATCAAGATGCCTGTGTGAAATAAGCAGTTTTCACTCTTCCCAGGGGGCTCAAACACCATAGCGGGGGAAATGGCTGTACATCTCTCATTCTAGGCCCTTCTGTATTCTTCACTGCGAATTCCACACAGTGCCTTGCTCCTTGCCACCAGTTTCTTTTCATATCCCCATTATCGCTACATACCACTCTACTGGCTACATTCAGATGTAATACACGACAACCACCACTGAGCAGCTGTAAAGGCGCCCCAGCATAGGGTTGTGAAACTTCCTCTTACACTCATTTGCTGCTGCTTGACTTGAGTTTGGCCCATTGTCTATAGCATTATCCCAAACTGACAGCAGCGTGCTGTCGAGCTGGAACCCATTTCTGTTCTGGGAGAGTGGCTTAGCAGCCTTCTCGTAGACACCCCACACCCCTCTGCTTCTTGGTGGTTCAGTCTCTAAGAGCCATAGAGCACCCCTGCAATTTTGGGGCACTGGAACTTACCCAGCAAAGGGGGCAAGAGATCCCAAATCCCTGACATTTCATAAGTTTGCACAGAAGAGCAACATACTGTAAACATACAGAGAAGAGAACCAGAAATGTAGCTCAAGGCCTCTTACTTTTCTGTCTTTAGTAACCGCCCACACCACGTTTACACCCACAGAGACGTGCAGGATCCCATTTTCAGGGCTTGGGGGTTCCACAATTGTCCAAGAAATTCCTGCCAAATAAACAAAACAAGGTTCATTAGACTCTCGTTAAGTTCTCTACAAATCAAAGCAACTTCCCTTCATAGCATGACAGGGTTTTACCTTGAGGGTTATTTCTATCAATCCCTTCTCTCACAATAGTTTGCCCCTCCCAAAGTGTTGCCCACAGGAGGTCATATGGTCCACAGCTGATCTGTACTGCTTCACCAGGGGTGGCTATTAAGGACCACGAGGAGCCTTCTGGATTGTGGTGGCAAACGTCTTCTCTATACCATACCTAGGACAGACACAAAAGCCTTAGAAAAATGCCACCCTAATAAAAACAGTCAGAACCTTTCAGGCAAATATATGGGCAGCCTGACAGAAAGGAGAGAACCATTCTTCTCTAGCCAAGTCTCCTTTTATAGCATTTGAACTCTCACCTTTAAGTGGCATTAGTTGAGTAGATTATACAACTGCAGACCACTTCCCTGTATATCAAGGGAGGAGGCTTTTCTATATACTAGGTTTTATGATGCAAGCCAATTTGGACAGGCCCATGATCTCTTGCCACACGATCTGTGTGTATTTCAACATTCGGAGCAGTTAAATATGATTCAAGGCACGTTAAATAAACTTAGAACCATTGAACTGTATGCCAAGAATCCTTCTTCCTTAGGAAAATACAGAGCATTCACACACTCAGGTTACTGCTGTAGATAAAAAGTCATGATCTGGCATTAACTGTAATGAGCTATCCATTTAGACAGACACCATTTGTATAAGGGCCAATACGTCACCGCTTTCATAACTTTTGATGGTGTCCAGCCCAACATTTACACGCAGCAGAGAGAACATGCCACTTTAAGGGTTTTGTGCTTGCCAGTCCTGGTCTCTCACACATGTGTTTCTCCACCTTATGTTTGAGAGAGCTTGGTGGGAAGGTTCAATATGGAGAGAGCACAGAGCATTCTTAGGTTGATATGCTCTCCTTGTGGCGGACAGTGAGCACTACAGTCCCACATTTATTAACATTTTGCTTTGGCAGGACTTCCACTTGGGGAACCCAAAGCACTTTAATGTTAATTAAATAAGCCTGCAAGGCAGAGAGCTATAATTTCCATATGGGGAAACTGAGACACAGGGAGATTTATAAGTGACTTGCCCAATGCTACACAGCCAGCCAGTGGCAAAATGCAAGTAGACCCTAGGAGTGAGTATTTGTTATAGCCACTAGACTACATTTCAAACATCTAAAGTTACTTCTAGACCTGTTAAGACACAAGTCAGGAATAGACCATGGCTAGGAGGATGACAGCTAAGACATGTGCCTAAGAGTGAAGGATGGAAATCCTTACAGCATGAGGAAGGATAAGAAAGACTTCATCGTGGGCCTAAGAAAATGATGTGAGATGCACACTTTTTTTTAGCATTTAGTATTATACATATAAAGTAAAACCTTGTCAGGGCTGGATTCCAAGATTACCCTACTGCCAGCTCAGCTCAGCTGAACTTTTCCCTTTCCCTATTCAACGCAAAAAAAGGTTAAACAAAATTGGATCCTTTCTATGGGTTCATTTTTCCACACCGAAGAAGCACTCACCCATGACACAGCACCTCTAAACTCTCCCTCTCTATTTTGATATAAAGCAGCATCAATCAACAGCCTATCACAGAAAGGGTTTTATTTCCATGTTCCCTGTCAGCCAGGTCAAACAGCAAATATCCGGACCAGCGTATGAAAGCAATGCTTTAGCTTGCAGTACGTCTGTCTGGGCTTAACCACTGAGATTCACAGCCACCTAGTCAATTGTGATCTGGCCTTCAAATATCTCCCCCCCATCCCCGCAACCTCATAACCAGAAGCAAGCTTCCCACAGATCAGGACCCACCAACTCAAAGTGGTACCAGACCCTTACCATAACAACATATGCAAAACCTGCAGGTATATCTCCACTGCTACGATGATAAATACCTACCTGCAACACACCTTCCAAGACGCATGGGTCCTTCACATGTCTGTCATATGTGGTGTACCTCACCCAATGCACTAAATGGCCCAATAACAACTAGATGGGTAAAACCAAACAATCACTATGCTCTCAAATGAACTCTCACAGAAAAATGATAAAAGAAAAAAAACACCAAACACCAGCAAAGGGTGAACATTTTTCACAAAATGATCACTCCATATCTGACCTCTCAGTCCTCGTCCTCAATGGAAACCTGCACAACACCTTCAAAAGACGAATCTGGGGGCTCAAATTCATAACTTGCTAGACACTAAAAATCATGGTCTTAATAAACACACTGGATTTATGCCCCAGTACAACCACCTGTAACCCACTAGCATCCTCTTTTTGTCTGATGACAGAGGTTTTAATGGGCCACTTCACCTTGAATGGTCTCTTAGAATATGTGTTAACTACTTATGCTAAACTCTCTGTTCCACCTTGTATTTAGCTGTGACACACAGAGTACCTTTCCCAGCCCTGAAGAAGAGCTCTGTGTAGCTCCAAAGCTTGTCTATCTCACCAATAGAAGTTGGCCCAATAAAAGATATTACCTCATCCACCTTGTCTCTCTAATACCCCGGGACCAACATGGCTACAAAACCACTGCAGATAAGGAATACACACAAAAAAAGAGTTATACCCTTCCTTGTAAGGACACTGCCCAGACCGATAACCGGCCCATGGGCTCGTCAGTGATTTCCCATCCTCCAATGGAGATATCGTTGAAAGGATCTGGCAACTGTTTAGGATCATCATGGGATGTTATCTAAAGCAAAGAGAGAGAAAAATTTAGAGAGCTGAAGTAGAAGAAGACCTGACCCCACATATACCTGCTGGCTATTTGGTGCACTGGGATAGGAGGGGCTTATCTCATTTTCTAGCAGACAAATCTTTGCCTCACAAAGCCACCACCTAGATGCCAAATGGCTAGGCATGGAGGATGGACTCCCTCTCTCCGTCGTGGCTGCTCCTTCAGACAGGGTGGGGCCACATTTGTGGAGCAGCATGGAAGAAGCCTGCACTCTTGCTGCCGGGGCTATAACTGTTCTTATGTAAAGCCTAGACTTTTGCTCCCACACCGGTCAATCCAGCATCTTGCACAAGCATTACAGTCACTAAAATAAATCCTCTATGTTTTTGCATGTGCTCTCATTAGTGCATGCAAACAGCAATCACATGTGCCTGTAATGCAGACAGCTAGTGGACTGACACCGGGAAAAATCCTATTGAAAATGGAGCAGGGTTTTTCCATCACGTAGCATTAGCTGCCTGTGGACAAGTGATCAGAATTCCTCTCCCTGCCTATGCCTCTATACACAAGACTGTAAATCAACACATGACAAAGATCTGAGGGCTGGGCTGAAGCTCTTTATGTTAGAAACGAAAAAAAAATTCAAAGCTATGGTGGAAATTTTGAAAGGCACCTAAAATAAATCCCACTGAATTTCAATGGGATTTGGGCACCTAATTTCCTTATGGTCCTTTGAAAAATTCCAGCCTTGAATTTGTAAGAGGTGAGAGACGTGCTAGATCGGCAGCTGCAGAGTCCAAGGTCCTGTCTTTGCAGACAGCACAAACCGCAGTGACAGCAGTGCAAACTTCCCCACTCTCATGCCATCACTTCTTTCATATACCACTTGAGCTAATAAATAAAACAAACAAACACAGAAAGAGACCTTTGCCCAAGTGTCTCGTGATTTGTATCTCCTGTATCTGATCCACCTCCTACGTCGGACACAGGAATTCCATTTCTTATCCTTTGCGTAGGTAGCTGGGAAGTCAATGGCATACGTCCAACCCTAAAAACAGAGAGTTCCTTTCATAAAGATTGCGAGCAGATGGCTACATTAAATAACTCAGAACAATTCTTCACAAGGATCACGCCTACAAACATAATATAAATTACTTTGCATATGCATAGGGGCTTTTATCTCCTAACTCTATAGACATTAATGAACTACATCTCAACTCCTCTGCGCAATACATACAGGACAAATAAGATATATTATAATAAAAATAAAATGCTTTTCTAAAGATGTTATAGTAAATAACAGCATCCAATAGCTATCATTTCAGGGCTGGATACAAAGCCTGTTGAAGTTAACAGAAAGATTCCCTTTGGTTTCAATAGCCCTAGGAAAAGATGCCTCCAGCACTATACTATAGCGATCTCCATTCCCAGCAAGAAGCAGCTGTGGGAAGATGGGAGATGCCTTTACTTTTACAGAGTGGATTCCCAGAATGGATCTCTTGCCGGTATTGTTCACCTACCCCTTTCTCTGTTGGTTCCCCTCCAATATTTTCATCCACGTACCAGTCAGACTCCCACTCCCAGTGCGGTGATGGCAGCGTGAAACTGTCAAGCTGCTGATGTTTTAGCCCGCTCACGTCACTCCATTGCCAGCGATCACTGGGCATTAATTTCTCACAAAAGCCACCAACCGGATTCCAACGCTGCCAGAAAGGAGAAAAATTGCACAGGTCAGGTCTGTAAGGCCATGTAACCTTGTTAGGTCACAGATGGGGCCTTGGGGATGTTCAGATGTTCCACACCTCAAGAGAAAAGATCCACTGGGGAAACAAGAAGGCATCCAAACACTGGCTATCGGCTAATATCATCTTTGGAGGGAGCATCCTTCAGATACCAGCTACTGGCTTTAAAGAGTGTGTCCTTCCTTTAATGCCAATACTAAGGAGGACAAGGTGGGTGAGGTCATTTCTTTTACTGGACCAACTTCTGTTGGTCAGAGAGACAAGCTTTCGAGCTTACATAGAGCTCTTCTTCAGGCTTGTCTTTCTCACCTTCAGAAACTGGTCCAATAAAAGATATTACCTCACCCACCTTGTCTGTCTAATATCCTGGGACTGACATGGCTACAACTAGACTGCATAATGCTAAGGGGGAAGTTACTTCATTTTAACAAACATGTGGTGGGTGTCATTCTAATTGATGACATTAAATTGTTCAGTCTATTACCAAAGATCATGGAATAATAAACAATGAGACGCACCATCAAGTGTTCCCATTCATATACTAGAAAGCATTACTGATTGCAGGACTGTCTGCAGCATTTAATTTCTAGTGTACTGGTCCAAGTTCAGCCCAGGGTGGTAGCCAATGAAAGCCACCACATCAGACAGCTATCAAGTGACCAGTGGCCATGGATTTAGGGGCCGTAGTCCAATTCCTAATGGAAAGGTGACTCAGGGTATGTCTATACTTCAATTAAAAACCTGCAGCTGGACCGTGCCAGCTGATTCGGGCTAAGGGACTGTTTAACTGTGGTGCAGATGTTTGGGCTTGGGCTGGAGCCAGAGCTCTGGGACCATCCCATCTTGCAGAGTCGTAGCACCTGGGCTCCAGCCCGAGCCCAAACATCTACACCACAGTTAAACAGCCCCTTAGCCCGAGTCAGCTGGCACGGTCCAGCTGCGGGTTTTTAATTGAAGTATAGACATACCCTAAGGCTCTGTCTACCCTAGAAAGGGTTTGCCAGTATTCCTATACCAGTAAACCCTCCTAGTGGAGATACAGCTAATACCAGCAAAAGAATTGCTGTTATAGCTTACACCGGTTCCCCTAATGAAATAAACCAGTGATTTTCAAATGTTTTTCATCTGCAGACGCCAAAAAAATGTCAAATGGAGGTGCGGACCCCTTTGGAAATTCCACCTGCGATCCCCTACCATAGATGTCTTAGACTGAACTGAATTCAACTATAAATGTTGCATGGGCTTGGCACAGCATTCGATGCAGCATAAGAAAGAGCACTAAACTGTGGGTTTCTATGGTAACGACAACAATTCCAGGTTTTGACCTGTAGGTGGGGACATTCCCATACTTTTGATTGATCCTTAGAGGTGTCCCCCCAGGTTAGAAGCTGACCTGCCACGTTGCTCTCTACTTTGATTGACTTTGGTTTCTAATGCTGTCAAACCTGCCCAAGTTCACTTACATAATAACAACAACTTTTTTAAAGGACCACACACAGCCCAGTGCTTAAAAAAGAAAAAAAGAAAAAACCCATAACGAAGAACCTTAATCAACTAAAATTGCCACGAAGTTTTACCCAACTAGCTCTCCCTCAGTCACATTGGGCTAGTCCACAGCCACTCCCTTGTCTGGTGTAAGACCTCTTATGTGCAAAGATCGTAAATGATTCAAGAGGTTTCAATATTGGTTATACTGTATACAATATTATTAGGCTAAACTTCTTTGCACATTCTTTATCCACTATTCAAGGTCTGATAGCTATGACTTTTTTAGTTTGTTCCCACAGAAAAGCTTCACATCTCCGATTTCTATTTTTCATGCTTTAGACCAAACAAAGGGAAGAATTTACAATTTACAACCCAGATAACGCATATTTAACGAAGATCATTTAAAATGTTTTCATAAAAGGAGGAATGTTCTAAAAACACAGTGCATAATTATATCAATGTTAGACAAATATAAAAAGGTCAGGAAAATATGCCTTCCCCTGCTTAAATAAAAACACAGCACTCTATACTACATTTATCTAGTGATCCCTTAGAAAGCAAGAGAAACAAGAAAAAAATCATTTGATCGTAACTCTAGAATGACTTCACCAAATACATGAGAGGTGGGGTTTTTTTGGGGGGGGAGGGGGCAATTTATGAATGCATTCTGTTGAAGCATGTGTTACAGAGAAGCCCCATAGAATGTGACAATGACATTTCTACAGGGTTTTTTTAAAAGACATAGTAGATTTTAATGGGAAATTGTACCTGGGGAATTTTTTAAACCTTTTCTAAATAACTCTATAGGCTTTGATGCTGTTAAGTTCCATGTGACTTTTTCATAAGGGAACAGGTATTGCTAACTGATGGAAGCAAAACATCAGACTTAGGGACTGAATGACCCCAACTGAGATGACTGGCGCTCAAGAGGACGCTATTTGCAAGGGGAAGAAAGAGGAAGGATTTAGGGGGACATTTAGGATCTGCTCTTCAGAAATACGCAGCAGGGATTTAAATAAATAAATACAATCCCTGAATGCTCGGAATGGTTCACAGTACCCAGAGAAGGGAGAACTCCACCCGAAGCTAGGAATTCCTTCCCTAGCTGCCACATTCACTTTGAACCCCAAATATGAGGTTTCTCTTGTCTGTTCTTACATTTACACATTACACAACAAACAACCTTACTACTGGACAACAGATCAGTCTGGACAAGTAACCACATTTCTCACTGCCAGCCCTCTCTGAAGACCACATGGCAAGTTTGACAGATGTGCTCATGACTTTACATACCTGATTCTCATAAGTTTCTTCCTGGAATCGGATTGGAACATCACTAGAGAATACGTAGGCATATACCTGGTGATCACAAGCTATTCCCCAGCAGCACTGTTTGACAGCAGAGACTCGTTTGAATTCCAGCTGTCTGTCTTTACAGAGCTCCCAGTACTGGCCAGCTGTAGAAAGAGTGTAAACCCTCCCAAAGATATCAACTGCCCACAAGAGGGAGTTGGGCATAGCCATAGCTGAAAGGCAAAGAAAGAGGTATTAATGTAGAGGCTAATTTTTAGGAGGTGGGTTCAAACCCCACTCCCAGCCCAAACAGACCCAGAAACTGAACTGAATACTGTGAGCCCCTCTCCAATTATACTAAACTTGAGAACAAAGGATGATATTTTCAAAGGAGCTTAGGGGATTCATCCATCCAAATCCCATCGCCTTTTAATGAGAGTTGGGTACCTAACTACCTTAGGCTCCTTTGGAAATCCCAGCCCAGGGGATACCAACTGGAATGTACATTGCAAACCCTTCCAATACAATTAGTAGCAACAATCTCAGGCTAAGAAGAGAAGCCAAAGGTTGAATGGATACATGGGGCCTGAACTGTGCTCTCACCCCAGAAGAGGGACATCCAGGGCTGGGCTAAGGCACATTGACTAAGCAGCATGGTGGAGTTTGTACTGCTAGGGCTCTCTGGCTAAAGAGAAGATTTCACTTTCCTGAGCTTTATGCACTCAGTGTCCAGGACCCCACAAAGTCACAGGAACTCCTCATCAATCTCCTCCTGGCACTGGCCGAGATGGAATCCATCAATTCAGGAAGAGGACGCTAGACGGGGAGATTCTCTGCAACTGTGTTGCTTACTTTCAGTCCCTACTTGTCTCTAGGCAGAGTTCCTCTGGAGCCTCCATGGAGCAGTAGGGGCTGTCCAGGGGTCTCTGCTGGGTGATCCAGAGTTCCCTCATAGAATCATAGAAGTGTAGGACTGGAAGGGACCTCAAGAGGTCATCTAGTCCAGTCCCCTGCATTTTGAACCTCTGACCACCCCTCCCCAAAATCCTGGTTGATCATTTGCTGTCCCACAGACTCTTGTTTCCTGGGCTCTGTGGCCCCTCTCTCAATTGAGGAGGCAGGCCTTTTGTCCTTGTAATGGATACTGGTCCTTTAAGGCCAAATAATATAGTTACCCTGTTCCATGTGTCCAGGGAAGAAAAATGAAGCCATCACTGGAAGAGAGGAAAATGATCCCAAGAGCAGTTAGTGTTGGGGAGAGGGAAGGTCTAGGGCTATCCCAGAACACTGTTTCTTTAAGGGCCTGTGACCAGGAGCTTTGTAGAGGGAGTGGCTCCAGTGGCTCCTAGTCAACACAGACAGGTGTTTGGGGTTATTACACTCACCTGGGAGAAGCAAGAGACTGATTAGTTGACTGGGTGGGAAACTCAAAAGAGGATCCAAACCCAGGTGTGGGCTGCGAATACCTAAACCTGAGCAGAGAGCCTACAGGCCAGGACTGAAAACAGTCCCAAGAAGGAGGACTGAGAGACCCTGAACCTGAGGGGTGAGCAGAAAGGGGCCCTTTTGAGAAGCTGAATGACATTTAATAAGTTAGACTCCAGGTCAGGAGAATATTGTTTCAAAGACTATGGTTGTGACTGGATTATTCTGTGAATTTGGAGGGAAACTGAGGCAGGGTGCCCAGTAGACCTCCCCAGGCCATGGGCAGGGTGTCCTGGGATGGCACCTGTTTGCAGTCCTACATGGAATTCAAACAGGCCAGCACTACGTTTGTTTCAAGAAGAATAAAGACTTCTTTCTGTGGGCATGTTGCATTTCCCACTCCTGGAGAAACAGTGGAGAGAGCTCAGAGCCACTCGTTCCATGGGAAAAGTGGGATTCACCTATGGGGACTTCCAACCCAATTTTTTTTTCCTATAGTGCAAAGCCCAAAACAAGGAAAGGAAAAGAGGAAGCACTGCTTGGAAGCAGCACACACCATTGTTTCTTTGTCTGTGAAAGGGCAGCTTTGCTCTCACAGGAGCCTAAGGAAACTATCCTGCTTGCCTTCTGACCCGTAACTAATAGTGATGGAGACATGCTGACTAGTACCACTTCATTGTTTCTAACCCGGGCATAAATTTGCCCAGAATAGAGACAAACATGTGTCACCCAAGGGAGAAGAGATGAAGGGCAAAGTTCTCCTGTTAGTTACAGCAGCACAACTCCAACTGAGTCCAAGAGGTTGCCCTGCTGCTAGAGAGGCCCTCTCTATGTTTTAGATTATGCCTAACTTTTGCAAGAGTAGCTGCACTGGTACAGACCCCAAGTGCAGATGTATATCAACCCAGGTGTGGCATCTTCATACATACGCTGACCTGTCTTGTTGGGGATCTTAATCTGAGCCCAGACCTCCCTCTCTGGTTGTAGCCCATCATCACTACTATTTGTTGTGAGCTGGAGATGTTCAGAGAAGCTGCAGTGATGAGGGCCATAGAAGTACTTAGATAACATAAAACAGAAAGAAGGATAATCTTGTGTTTAAGGTGCAGCACTAGGGAATAGAAGATGTGTAACAAACCTCCCATCTTATTTTGGGCAAGTCGTTTCACCTCGGCACCTCAGTTTCCCCAGAGGTAAAATTGGGATAATATTTATCTCACTGAGGCTTGTGTGTCTAATGTTTAAGTGCTTAGAATTCTTTGAATGGAAGGTACTGTGCAAGTATGAAGCATTATAACAACCATATGGGGAGGGGCCAGATCTATGGTGTACTGCATGCACCCTTGGAAGAACAAAGCCAAGATAAGGAGCCTTTTCAAATTAGTGTTAGAAAAATACTGCAGTGCAAGTTACATTTTCTAACTAAGAAAATACCCTGCAACAAACTTGAATAACTAACTGTAAAGTAAAGCAGAATGGCAAAAATAACCAGGCTAATATTCTGGGATGTAATACCAGGAAGGTCATAAGAACGGCCCTACTGGGTCAGACCAAAGGTCCATCTAGCCCAGTATCCTGTCTTCAGACAGTGGCGAGTGCCAGGTGCTCCAGAGGGAATGAACAGAACAGGTAATCAAGTGATCCATCCCCTGTCACTCAAGGACGCCATTCCTGCCCATTCTGCCTAATAGCCATTGATGGACCTATCCTCCATGAATTTATCTAGTTCTTTTTTGAACCCTGTTATGGTTTTGGCCTTCACAACATCCTCTGGCAAGGAGTTCCACAGGTTGACTGTGCGTTGTGTGAAGAAATACTTCCTTTTATTTGTTTAAAACCTGCTGCCTATTAATTTCATTTGGTGACTCCTAGATCTTGTGTTATGAGAAGTAGTAAACAACTACTTCTTATCTACTTCCTTATCTACTTTCTCTACACCAGTCATGATTTTATAGACCTCAATCATATCTCCCCTTAGCCATCTCTTTCCAAGCTGAAAAGTCCCAGTCTTATTAATCTCTCCTCATACAGAAGCCGTTCCATACCCTAATAATTTTTGTTGCCCTTTTCTGAACCTTTTCCAATTCCAATATATCTTTTTTGAGATAGGGCGACCACATCTGCACACAGTATTCAAGATGTGGGCATACCATGGACTTATATAGAGGGAACATAATATTTTCTGTCCTATTATCTATCCCTTTCTTAATTATTCCCAGCATTCTGTTCAGTTTTTTGACTGCTGCTGCACATTGAGTGGATGTTTTCAGATAACTACCCACAATGACTCCAAGATCTCTTTCTTGAGTGATAACAGCTAATTTAGATCCCATAATTTTATATGTATAGTTGGGATTATGCTTTCCAATGTACATTACTTTGCATTTATAAACATAAAATTTCATCTGCCTTTTTGTTGTCCAGTCACAAAATGTTGAGAGAGCCTTTTGTAGCTCTTTGCAGTTTGCCTGGGTCTTAACTATCTTTAGTAAGTTTGTATCATCTGCAAATTTTGCCACCTCACTATTTACCCCTTTTTTCAGATCATTTATGAATATGTTGAATAGGACTGGGCCCAGAACAGACACCTCGGGAACACCGCTATTTACCTCTCTCCATTCTGAAAACTGACCATTTATACCTACTCTTTGTTTCCTATCTTTTAACCAGTTACCAATCCATGAGAGCACCTTCCCTCTTATCCTGTGGCAGCTTACTTTGTGTAAGAGCCTTTGGTTAGGGACCTTGTCAAAGGCTTTCTGAAAATCTAAGAACACTATATCCGCTGGATCCCCTTGGTCCACATGCTTGTTGACCCCCTCAGAGAATTCTAGTAGATTGGTGAGGCGTGATTTCCATTTACTAAAACCATGTTGACTCTTCCTCAACAAATTACGTTTATCTAGATGTCTGAGAATATTATTATTTATTATAGTTTCAACCAGTTTGCCCAGTACTGAAGTCAGGCTTGTAGGCCTGTAATTGCCAGGATCACCTCTGGAGCCCTTTTTAAAAATTGCCGTCACATTAGCTATCCTACAGTCATTTGGTACAAAAGCTGATTTAAATGACAGGTTACAGACTACAGTTAGTAGTTCTGCAATTTCACATTTGAGTTCCTTCAGAACTCTTGGGTGAATACCATCTGGTCCTGGTGACTTATTGCTGTTAAATTTATCAATTTGTTCCAAAACCTCCTCTAATGATACTTCAATTTGGGACAGTTCCTCAGATCTGTCACCTAAAAAGAATGGCTCGGGTTTGGGAATCTCCCTCACATCCTCAGCCATGAAGACCGATGCAAAGAATTCATTTAGTTTCTCCGCAATGCCCTTATCGTCCTTGAGTGCTCCTTTATCGCCTCAATCGTCCAGTGGCCCCACTGGTTGTTTAGCAGGCTTCCTGCTTCTGATGTACTTAAAAAATTTTTTGCTATTACTTTTATAAGACATATACTTGTGTGTGTATCTAAATACTTTTATATACATGTAAAAGACACCGGGAGTAACTATTCTACTCTACTTGACTCTGGTGAGGCCTCAGCTGGAGTACGGTGTCCAGTTTTGGGCACCACATTTTAAGAAAGGTGTGGAGAAATGGAGGGGAGTCCAAAGGAGAGCAACAGAAGTTCTAGAAAACATGACTCTATGAGGAAGGTTTAATAATAATAATAATAAAACCCTGAATATGTTTAGTCTTGAGAAAAGACTGGCGGGATTCGGGGGGGGCGGGGGGGAACCTGATATGTCTTCAAATATGTTAAAGGCTGTTATTAAAAAGGATTGTGATGTTTCCATGTCCACTGTAGGTAGGACAAGAAACAACTGGCTTGATCTGCAGCAAAGGAGACTGAGGATAGATATTATGAAAAAAGTTCTAATCATAAAGGTAGCTAAGTACTAGAACAAGCTTCCAAGAGAGGTTGTGGAATCCTCATCACTGTAGGTCTGTAAGAACAGGTTAGACAAACACCTGTCAGGGGTGGTCTAATTATATTTGGTCCCGTTGCAGGGGGATGAACTAAATGACCTCTGAAGGTCCTTTCCAACCTTACATTTCCTTGACTGATCTCAGGCTCCCAACTTGCCGGATCCTGAGGGAAAATGATTCCTAATGGATAACTCAATTAAGATATCTACCTGGAGCACAGTAGTTTTTTTGTTTTTTTTTTGTTTTTAGTGGAATGCTTGGGAATCTTAAGACAGGGAGGACAAACTAATATCAATCCAGATATGGAGGGCTCTCTGTGCAATGCTGGTTAAAAGAGATAGCACAAAGACTGAAAAGGTTCCGAAACAGGAAGCGAAAGAGCTTAGCAATATGAAGGGATCTGTACACCATGAAAGATCACAAAGATGATTAAGGCTACTTAAACCAGGAAGAAGAGTTAGATGGGACTAGATTGAGGTATTCAAGATAGTAAGGATAGAGGGAAAATGAGCAGTTCCTGTTTACTCTGTGTTATTTGAGAATAAAGGGTGTGGCAATGAACAAGTGTAAAGCCAACCGAACAAAAGACCTCAGGTAAAATTTTCATAAGTGATTTAGGAGTTTAAATTACTTTTGAGAATTGGATTTAGGAGTCTGTGGAATTCATTGCAGCAGTAGGTCACCAAAGAGAGAAATACTGCCTGAGTTTTCAAAGGTGCTGAGTGCTGCAGCGGTCATTCATTACAGTAGGCACAGAAGAAGAGGAGTACTTGTGGCACCTTAGAGACTAACAAATTTATTAGAGCATAAGCTTTCGTGGACTACAGCCCACTTCTTTGGATGCATATAGAATGGAACATATATTGAGGAGATATATATACACACATACAGAGAGCATAAACAGGTGGGAGTTGTCTTACCAACTCTGAGAGGCCAATTAATTAAGAGAAAAAAAACTTTTGAAGTGATAATCAAGCTAGCCCAGTACAGACAGTTTGATAAGAAGTGTTACCCATTATGCAGGGGTGGGGGAGAAATCAGACCAGGACTGTGTAAATCATCCATTCCTTCCCCACTCAAATTAGGACAACTAGATAGTTGACGTAGCTATAAATATTTATGGTTAAAATTAACATAATGATACATGTCATTCAAAAGCCCTGCTACAAGGCATACAGGGGTCAAGAAAAGTCCCTATCTGTGTGTACAATACTGAAAAATTACTTGGGTTCTTCAGAGGGGGTTTTCAGCCTCTCTCTTCAGGCATTGG